ACCCCAATAGGCAACGTGCGGAAATGCCCTATGTGGGTGAATGTCAGAGGCCAGGAGCACCCCCCCACCTGCTTAAGTGTCAAAGGAGGTGCCAGAGGCCTGCCCTGTGCTCACCTCTTGGATATTCTGCTTTGCCCGGCTGTCAGAGAGGATGCATGATGGTTCCCATCACTTTCATATTGCCACAGACAACCAGGGCTTCGTCCGGTGCATCTGTGTTTATTCCCACTCGACCATGACAGACAACAGATTCTGGAACTTGTCGTCGCTGCCATAATGCATCACTGTCATTTTCAAATTGCCCAGGGTTAGAAGCCTGGAAAAATACATAAATGTATTACAATTAAAGCTACAGTAGCAGGAATAGAAGATCACTTTATCCTCAGAGCAATGGAAAACAAAATGTTACCTAAGTCTTTTCACATGAAAATCACATGCTGATGGGACATTCTGCATATACAAATGGCCCTATGACCCCAGGAAAGTCAGGGGCTCCCATAAATACTCTGCCCACTATGAGCAGAAGCTCGGTATGCCATGTATTAGAATGTCTAGTCTCTAGCACATCTATCTGAAATAGAGAATATGTCAGTTTCACTGGGTGACAAGGACAAGAAGAAAACTCATAATGACTATCTTCTCATTAAAGATAATAATCATGATTTCAATCAGGCTAATAGACAAGAAAACATTGTAAGCTTTTAAGACTAAGATAAAATAAAAGTACTTTACATTTAGGTAGCCCCTTTATAGTTTCAAACCACTTTCATATTTATGATTTCATACAGAATTGACAAGCAAATGAAAATACAAATATATTTAACATATCTCAACTATCTCTTAAACATAGATGACCGTCAAGGAACACTGGAAACAGCTATGTTTGGTTTTCTGTTGTTTTTAAATTTTTTTTTTAAATTGAGGTAACATAAGGTATCACCACATATTGCACCCACCACCAAATCACCCAAAGCACCCCCATCATAGTCCATTGGCTTCCTTTCCTTTTTGTTCTTACCCCTCCCCCACCTCACCCCTCCTTTGGATGTTTTACTTCTATAGTCAGCTTTTAAGGGTTAGTTTTGATCTTGCCTTTACTTGACACTTAGTTTGGTTTTTCTATATTCCACATATTAGTGACACAGTCTGGTATTTATCTTCCTCCTTCTGACTTATTTCATTAAGTGTTATCCCTTCCAGCTTCATCCACATTGCTGTAAATAGCATGAGTTTATTTTCTGATTGTTGACTAATATTCCATTGTGTATCTGCACCACATCTTCTTGATCCACTCATCTGTTTTTGGATACTTTGGCTACAGTAAAAAGTGCTGCAATAAACATGGGAGAACAAGTTTCCTTTCAAATTAGTGTTTTTGAATGTTTCAGGTAGATGCCTAAGAGTAGAACTACTTGATTATATAGCAGATTCATTACTCATCTTTTTATTAAGATGAAAGGCTGGATTAATCTGCATTCTCATCAGCAGTGCAGGTGAGTTATCTTTTCTCCATATTCTCTCTTTTTTTTTGCATAGAAGAACTGGGGTACAGGCCAGGGCAGGGGGGTTGGTTAGAGGATTCACCAGAGACAGAGTGGGGAGCAGAACAGGCAGACTGACTGAAATACACTGCTAAGGGGAGCAGCGGGCAAGACAGGAGCAGTCTGCTGCGCCATATGTGGGTTAGCTCCCTGGCTGGGGATCAAACTCAGGCCTTAGCTATGACAGCACTGAGACTTAACCCTTAGGTCCCACCAGGGAGGCCTCCACATACTTGACAGCACTTGTTGCTTCTGGTCTTTTAAGTATGGGTCATTCTTACAGGTGTGGTTTGTCATTGTGGTCTTGATTTGCATTTCCCTCATAAGTGATGAACAATTTTCATGTGCCTGTTGGCCATCTGTACATCTTCTTTGAAGAAGTGCCTATTTAGCTCTTCTGCTCATTTTTTGATTGGGTTATTTGTTTGTTTTGCTGTTGTTGTTGAGTTGTAGGTGCTCTTTGTGAATCTTTGACATCAGTCCCTTGTCAGATATACGGTATGCAACTATTTTCTCCTATTCAATTGAGTGTCTTTCTGTTGAGTTATGGTTTCTTTTGCTGTGCAGAACTTTTTAGTTTGATGTAGTCCCATGTGTTTATGTTCTCATTTGTTTGTCTTGCTGTTGGGGATGCATCTCTAAAGATATCACTGAAGCTTATGTCATGTAGCGTTTTGCATTTTTTTTTTATATATATATTTTACAGTTTCAAGTCTACATCCAACTCTTTCATCCATTTTGAACTGATTTTTGTGTATGGTATGAGACAGTGGTCTAGTTTCATTCTTTTTTTATGAGCTGTCCAATTTTCCCATCACCATTTATTGAAGCGCCTATCCTTGTGCCAGTGTATGTTGTTGGCTCCCTGGTCATAGAGTAACTGTCCATGTAGATGTGGATTTATTTCTGAGTTCTCAATTCCATTCCATTGCTCTCTGTTTCTGCTTTAGTTCCAGTACCAGGCTGTTTTAATTACTATGGCTTTATAATAAAGTTTGAAGTCTGGAAGAACAGCCCTGCCATTTTTCTTTTTTTGTCAGGATTGCTATGGCTATTGTGATTCCATATGAATTTCATATGTTTTGTTCCAGTTACTTGAAGAATGCCATCAATATTTTTATTGTGATTATAGTGAATCAATAACAGCTACATTTGTCGTGTGCTCATTTATACTCTAATTCTATGAGCTATGTACTATTCTCCTTAGTTTATTGCTACTGAGACTCTGGAAAGACAAATTGCCCAAAGCTACAAAGCTAGTAAGTTCTGGAGCTGGAATTGTATTTCCTTTGATTGTTACATAATGATTCTAACCGCCTATTTCATAGTGTTATCTAGAAGTAACCCTGGTCAAATGTGGTCTCAAAAAAAAAAGTTCAAATGCAGTAAACAGGCTAGACAAAGTTCTGGAGCTATTACACTTCAATAAAATTCCACGTCAAAAGTTTTTTTCCACTCTCTTCTCCCCACTTAACTCTAGCTGCTGAATTTATTTCTAAATAACCATAAGTAGGGCTCTCTGAAACTTTCAAAATCCTCCCAAACAATTAAGTCATTTATAAAATTATGACCTAGTCTTCTAAATATGAATTCTGTGCTTGAGACAGGTTGTCCAAAATTCAGACAAATAGGGAACTGGATAATCTAAAACATTAGCACTAACACAGTAGTTTTGCTATTTTCCTGTCTGGAAGTATGGGAGACATTATAAACACAGCACCTGAACGTGCATGGATGATCTCTGACAAATACTCAAGAAACCAGTAACAATAATTTCCTTAAGTATGGGACTGGGAGATGCAGAAACTGGTCAGAGGGAAAGTCACCACTCACTACACATTCTGTTGGTATTATCTGAATGTTTTTACCATATGTATGTGTTACCAATTTTAAAATAATAATGAAAAGAAACCACAAAGTTTAGTTCTTAATTTGAGTTCAGTTAAAGCATTTTTAGGTGTCTTCAGCATCCTGTTTCATTTCCACTGTCTAAACCCTGAGCTGGTTGAAAGACACAACCATTGACATTTGATGGACAAACGCAATGAAAGAATATAAAGCAACAACTTTGAACATTATTTTGTGTGAATTCACTTGAACAAGAGCTTTTCTGCAAAGTCCCTAGAGTCCCCTTGGTTGTGAATGGCAAATTGGCTTTGATTCAAATCCTTTTATAGCAAGCAATCAACTATATCCAAAGGTACGCCGTATAAAATGTTGATGTGTTTTGCTCTATTCTGAACATAATGAGCCATTCAAGGAAACAAAATAGGACAGTGATGGATTTTTTTTTCCTTAATGAGTTTTAGGATAATTATTATCATGTTTGGTAACTTGATACTGTAACCACAAATATAAGTAGATTTATTTCTTTGGAACAATTACAACAATCTCAATTGACTTTCATCAGATAAAAACTCAAGTCTCTAAACTATGTTCAAATTATTTTGGAAGGGGTCACAGATTTACAACATTCTAAATATCTATTTCTAAGAAGGTGTCCCTAATCAGCAATGGGAAATGTTATAAAATCTATGAACTTATTTCCATTTTCTGGTATCCACAGTGTTAACATATCAGAGAAAACTGTAATGTTTCTCTTTCTTGGATTATGAAGTTGTGGTCACATGTGGCCCAGTATGGCTGATTGATATCAAACACCAAAATGAATTAGTGTTTCTAAAATACTTTTATTATTTATCTTATAGTATAAATACATTTATTATATATTTAGGGAGGACCTTTTAGTTAATATTACGTGTGACTGTGTGACCTTAGGGCAGTCACTTAACCATTCTGCATCAGTATTTGTCCTCTGAAGAATAAAGATAATGTTTTTATCTATCCCACAGGTTGTATAAGTCATGAAAGTCACATACGTATGAAGACTTTCCAAATCTGAGGATGAACACTCTTCAAATTCTACCTTGACACACTCTGCTGTGCAGAGCAACAATGGTTCTACCTATAACCATTCATTTTCCCTCAGCAACAGGCTGCAAGTTTGCACAGCTTGGTGGGGGGCAGGGGGGTGGGGAACCTCCATTCATAAAGAATACAATGTAAATGCCGCCCCCTGCAGGTGCTTGGATAGGAAACAGTATTCACAGTAATCTGAGACCTGCTCTGTTTAAATATGGTATGGGGAGCAGGAACTTCTTTGTTTTACCTCTGTTTGGACTTTTAAAGTAGTAGCTAAAGATCATAAAAGGAGAGCTTGTGCCTAGGAAGGCAACCTATAAAAAAATCCCTTTTTGTGCCTTTTGAAAAGGCAATGGAAAAATGGACCTAGAAATGCCCTCTTCCGGTGCAACACAAATATGGTTTCCAGGCCAGCAACATCAGTATTTCCTGGAAGCTTGTAGAAATGCACATTCTCAGACATCTCTAATCCACTGAATCAAGAACTGGGATGGGGCCCAGTATCTGTGTTTTATAAAAATCCTTGACAAAATTTAAGAATTACTTCTTCAGGGGCCTCCCTGGTGGCATAGGGATTAAGTCTCAGCACTATCATGCTATCACTGCTATGGCATGAGTTCGATCCCTAGGAGGGAGGTGACCCACATGGCACAGCAGACCTCTCCTGTCTCCCCTGCTGCTCCCCTCAGCAGTGTATTTCAGTAGATCCACCCGTTCTGCTCCGCATTTTGTCTCTGGTGAATCTTCTCACCCCCTGCACCTCTGGCCTACACCCCAGTTCTTGTATGCATAAATAAATAATTTTTTTTTAAAAAAGAATTACTTCTTCACGCTATAGATTCCTAGTCAAGAGTTACCCTGCCATCATGGATACAAGTTCTGGTGAATCCCAAGTGCAGAGTGAAACATATTGCTCCACACACTGACTCCTTTGGATAAATAAAAGTTCATCCACACTCCAGTAGATGTGTGGTGTGTGTGTACATGTGAGTGAGTGTGGTTGGTGGGGGAGGGAGAAGAGGTTTATGGTTAGAAACAGACAAGAGTTGTTGAGAAATAGAATTAAAAATGGAGATGGTATCTGGACTGGCTCTGCTCTACCCTGGTCCCTTGCAATCCTTACAATGGTATGATTTCTTTTGTCTTCCCTGCCCCTGGCTATTGGTTTCCCACTCATGGCAGTGTGGTTGCAGAGTAGGGAAACAAAGACTTCTTGGGGATGTGCTCATTTCTATTCTTCTGGAAAAGAAACTGGAATAATCTGTTAGTTTTCAAAAGTAGGAAACCTTGGTGCGTCTTTGAAAGGCAGACAAAAGTAATCATCCCTCCTGCTTGCCACACAGCATCCCAAAGCAGGTTTAATTATGTGTTTTAGAAGGAAAATGGAGCCAAAGTAAAGCCTACTCATTAACAAGGAGAATCTGAGGGAACTCTGCTGGGGAATGCACCCCAAAACAAAGACCTGGGAATAAATCTTTTCTTTGGAGAAAGCCTTAATTTCCATTAAATTGACCAATTTACACTACAGGACCATAATATACTTCTAAAGCTGTTTTGATTGACAACACAGATGAGCAATTACCAGGCCCTGCCCACCATTCTTTATCCAAGGAGAATTTTATAAAGCATGGTCTCCTGAACCCCTCCTGGAGACCTGAAACTCATCTACGTCCAACCTTCTTAAAATTGCCCACATGTTAAGGAATGATTCTCAGACCTAAAATGAATCTGGATTTACTAAATGTTATTTGCAGCTCCCTATTATCATTTGGTCATATCTTAGCATGATTTCAATTGTAAAATTTTCTGCCTTTATTCTAGAACTCAGGCAGTCATCCAAAAGTGTGCATCTGGCCTATAAAATATAGGCTGACCTGCCCTCTTCAAACCCAAGTTGCATATACCTGTCTTGTGGCCTCCACAGTCTCCAGGGGCAGAAAATGTGTTCTGTGAACTTTTCTTAAGATTCCCTGATCAAACTATAATGCAATTTCATAGGGCCTCCCCGGTGGCTCAGCGGTTGAGCGCTGGGTTGCGAAGCTGCCCACAGCCTCTGCAGTGCAGGTTCAATCCCCAACCGCCAGGCAAGGGCCCCACAGGGCGCGACAGACCTCTCCTGCCGCCTGCTGCTCCCCTCAGCAGTATACTTCATCAGTCTGCCTGTTCTGTTTCCCGCTCTGGCTCTGGTGAATTCTCTCACCCCCCTGTGCTTCTGACTATACCCAGTGCTTGTATAAATAAATAAATAAACAAAATCTTTAAAGAAAAAAATAATAATGCAATTTCTTAAATTCAGTTTTTCTCTTGATTGGGTCAAACCTTAAACAATTAAATGGATCCAAAATTCTGCGTTCCTTTTCACTACTACATTTTGGGATAAGAATGGAATAATATCAACAAGATATTTCTTGTTAGAAAGGCTGGGGGGAGAAGGGTTTGTGTTATGGCCATTATTATTATTTCCATTGTTGTATGATAACGCTTAAGTTACCCAGCACACTTACAGGAAAGGGCATTTTCTCTAACCAAAAATGATAATGAGAAGAAAGCTATCAAATCTGGAATGTATTTTTTTAAAAAAACAACAGTTTAGTGACTAACATTGACACCCAATCTGTACTAAAATTTAATCTTTTAGTAATCACACTAAATGAATTGCAGAAATCTTCAACTTCGCGAAGTCATCACTCTGAGTTAAATTTCTATGCTCTGCATATGAGGAGATGCCCATTAACAGAGAGCTTTGGCAATGGAATTTTCGGGTGGCGGGATGCCCACTTGTGCTGCTTCTGTGTGGACTTGCACAGAGCCAGAGTGGAGCTCAGCAGGGGCTGCCAGCAGGACATGGTACCTACCCCTAGGTAAACCATTCAAAGTATGCAGGTGAGCAGCAGAGCCTGCCTCAAGCAGGCATTGCCCAGCTCACGGTGGCCCTTGCGAGATACCTAATCTACGCTGACTCTGAGAAGAATGGCATTGTCTGTTTTTATTTCTTCTTAGGAGAAATCAGAAACAGTAAGTAACCTGGGTTTCCAGACTTTATTTTATTTTATTTTTTAATATTTTATTTTATATAATTCTTACATCATTTTTCATCTTTGTACAATGTATGCATTTTCATTTTGGTTATATTCCCCATACAATTGCACCCCCTCCCTTATTTTGACTCTAGTTCTTCCTCTCCCCCCCCCTCCCTAATCCCCCCTCCACCCCATAGTGTGTCTCTGGTTTATAGTTGCTTGTTGATTTTGATTATTACTTTGCATTGATTAGTTTTTTTTCCTGGCCTCTTATTTAGGTTTTCTAAATTCCTGCTATGAGTGAGACCATCCGGTATTTTTCTTTTTCTTTCTGACTTATTTCGCTGATCCTTTCTAGCTCTATCCATGTTGCTGCAAACTGCATGTGTTTATCTTTTTTGATTGCTGAGTAATATTCCATGGTGTATATGTACCACATCTTCTTCTTCCAGTCATCTATTTTTGGGGATTTGGGTTGTTTCCATAGCTTAGCTATTGTAAATAGTGCTTCTTAAACATAGGCGTGCAGGTGCCCTTTGGAATTACTGTTTCTGTGTCATTTGGGTAAACCTAGGAGTGGAATTGCTGGATCATATGGAAGCTCTATGCTTAGTAGGTCCAGAAATCTCCACACAGCTCTCCATAGTGGTTGGACCAGTTTGCACTCCCACCAACAGTGCAGAAGAGTTCCTTTTTCTCCACAACCTCGCCAACATTTGTTGTTGCTAGGTTTTTTAATATGTGCCATTCTCACTGGTGTAAGATGGTATCTCATGGTAGTTTTGATTTGCATTTCCCTGATTACAAGTGATGGTGAACATTTTTTCATATGCCTGTTGGCCATTTGCATTTCCTCTTCAGAGAAGTTTCTTTTTAGCTCTTCTGCCCGTTTTTTTGACTGGATTATTTTCTTTGTTGTTGTTGAGTCTCACCAGCTCTTTGTAGATTCTTGTAATCAGTCCTTTATCATTAGCGTTGTGTGCAAAAATGTTCTCCCAGTCGGTGGGGTTTCTCTTTGTTTTTGTTATTGTCTCTTTTGCTGTTCAGAAGCTCTTTAATTTGATGTAGTCCCCGCTGTTTATCTTTGCCTTTACTATCACTGCTTTGGGTGATGTGTCCAGACCTTATTTTAGATGAGATACTGCAGCAATGCAGTCCCAGATTACATCAGGTCTGATATCAAAGACCACCCTAGACCTGCTGAGGGGTGGATGGGAATCTCTGCCCTTGGGTCCTGACCCAAGGAAAGGGCTCCACCTAAGTCTTGGCGCCTCATTTGCCACAGGCTAGATCAAGCCCCACAAAAACACGACCTGGAAGAAGCATGCAGAGCCCAGCCCTCAGCCTGGGTCATCTCAACACTTCAGAGTTTCACATCATTTCCATCATTACTTCATCTCCATTAAAGCTGTGAACCACAGTTTACAGATTTATACTAATAGGTGGCTTGCTATTTTTAATTGACTATAAGAATGGCACAGAGGGCCCTTTGTTTCAGAGATAGTTCAAGGTGAGCAAAGACTCACTTGCCCAAATAGGCAGATCTTGTCCCCTCCAGCCTAAGGTTAACGGTAGCACATGTGCATGCCCACAGTGAATGACTTTCCCTGTCGGAGTTTGTGAGTCCTTCCTATGTCACCTCAAAGATCCATGACAACACAGCCCAGCTCCCAGGACTGCCAGACCTGCACTTCACCAGTTACCTCATGCCCCTGGCATTCTCAGCAGAGGCCAGTCTGACCTCACACAGATGCAGCTGCCAATGCTTTATGTTTATGTGATGGCCAGACTCCCGTCCACAGCTGCAACCAATCACTCATTCAGGAAAATGTGCTAGGCCATTACTATGTGCCAGGCAGGGGCCCAGATACCTCTGGGATCACCAATCACTTTTGGCCATGGGATGCCTTCCTGCCAGTTACCACTTCCTACCCTGTGGGCTTTGGGCTCAGAGAGAACTGGGTTATAACTTGGACTCCATCATTTATATGCAAGCTGTGTAATTGTGGATGCATCCCTCATCTTCTTGAACTTCAGTACTTCTGGGTGTAAAGAATGTAATGTAGATGTGAAACAATGTAAATTATGTCATGTATAAATTATTTAGCCAAGAACCTAGAACATAGTATAAAAACCATGGTTTCTCAGGAGAGGCACTAGTGACATTTGGGGAAGGCTAATTGTAGACTGATTGTGAACTATAAAGTGTTGAGGAGCGTCGCTGGCCTTAATCACATGGCACTAGTGGCATCTTAAGTTGCAACAACCAAAAAACATTTGCAGACATTGCCAAACGACTCCTGGGGGGACACAGAGAATCTTTGGAACCACTATGTGAAAACTAAAACAGTGCTGCTATTATTATTTTCAGTGACTGAGAAAGCGCATACCTTAAATATCCCATTGACAATACAAATTCAACTCACAGGGAAGAAAAGCATGTGGGATCCAGCACAGCCAAAGAACTGGGCTTACCCTTACAATGATCCGTTCAGAGATGTGGGCAGATAACAAATAGAACTGGTCCTGGCTAGCAGCATACAGTCCAACCACCAACATGAAGTATCTGATTCAGAAACAGCAGACCAATGTCAACACATCAGGCAACAGAGATATAATTTGTGTAATCAAATGCGACCCAGCAGTTAATCAATAGTGAATTTACCTAAATATGTTTGTTTGCATATTTAAAGAATTTCTCTTCTGCTTTACATTGTCCCTCCTGATAAATAAGAACAGAGTTGATTCACTCACTATTGTTTGGGGTCTGCCCTTTGCTCAATGTCAGGTAACTGGGAGCTGCATAGCTGGGCCCTCGGCACAGCACTGAGCGCAAACATATGCGCAATGGGAAGGTGTCCAGAGCCGCTGCAGTCACATCCTATGCTCTGATGGAGGGGACATAACAGGGCTTGCCCATCCTCACTGGACCCTTCCCACCATAGATGCCCTATACCTTCTTCCATGACTTTAGTCAAAGACCTGCACCCTCCCTGTTATCTCAGTTGCCTCTTCACTACACCATTGACAAGACACTTAAGATCAGACCATTCCTTGAAAGCAAAATAAAAACCACCCCCATCTGAGGAGATTTTGCAAAAGAACTGCATGAATAAACTTCACCAACTTCTTCTGCTACATTGTACAGGCTCTTTAATCCCTGAGAACAGCCTTCTCTCTTTTTTCAATTTTATTTATTTTTCTATTCCCCATACAATTGCAACCCCCCTTATTTTGACCCCAATCCCTCCTCTCCCCGCCCGTCCCCCATAGTGTGTCTCTGGTTTATAGTTGTTTGTTGATTTTGATTTTTTTCTTTATTATAGTTATTCTTTTTTCTGGTCTCTTATTTAGGTTTTCTAGATTCCTGCTATGAGTGAGACCATCTGGAAAGCTGTGTGGAGATTCCTCAACCTCCTAAAGATGGAGCTTCCATATGATCCAGCAATTCCACTCCAAGGTATTTACCCAAATGACACAGAAACATTAATTCAAAAGGGCACCTGCACCCCTATGTTTATAGCAGCACTATTTATAATAGCTAAGCTTTGGAAACAACCCAAATGCCCAAAAATAGATGACTGGATCAAGAAGATGTGGTTCATATACACAATGGAATATTACTCAGCATTCAAAAAAGATAAACTCATGCAATTTGCAGCAACATGGATGGCGCTGGAAGGGATCATGCTCAGTGAAATAAGCCAGAAAGAAAAAGAAAAATACCAGATGGTCTCACTCATAGCAGGAATCTTCTCCTCTATCTTAAGTGCAGCAGTAGTAACAATTGTTAGCTACCATTATTATTAGAATAACTACCATGCCCATCACACACTGGACAAAATTGTTTATCTACATTAATTCACTTAGTTTCCCCCAAGCGACCCTCTTGAAGTAGGATATTGCTATTGCCCATTTTACAGAATAGAAAATTGAGTCTTAGAGTTAAATTGCTCAAGCTCACCCAGCTAGTAAATGGCATATCAAATAGGCAAATTCATCCTGTCCAATTCCAAAGCCTATGTTCTAAAACCAATGGTTCTCAAATTTGAGCTCGCTTCAGAGTCACCTGGTGACTCTGTTACCAGGTGGTTAAAATGCAAATTGCTGGGCCCCACCAGCAGAGTATGGGATTCACTAGGTCTCCCCCAAGCACCAAGAACATGCATTTCTAGTAAGTGACTAGATGATGCCATCACTACAGACCTGGGACCATACTGTGAACCACAAATCTAAACTACTAATGAAAATTTATTTTCTTTTTTAATCAAAGAAAAGCTACAGCAGCGCTCAGGACCCAGTGATTATACTGGGGACCAGCGTACAGGTTTGAGAAATGCAGTCAATCCTCAGCCCTCAAATGACAATGAACTTGTAATCACTCCAGAGAACTCTGGGGGTAGAGGGATCCAGGCTAGCATATTTGGGGCTGGGCAGGAGAGTAGAGATTTCTACTCTCTCTAATAGACTGAAAGTGTCAGAGAAGGCTGGAAAGTAACTGAGGGAGGCCCAGTTTGTCTGCTCATGTGGCCAAGAGGAAGAAAGAGGCCTCTGGGGAAACTGCCCACTCAGATAAAGGCCCCCATACCTCTGGTCAGGATTTGGTTTTCCCTTCTTTCTCATGTTATTTGCTGTAGTTTCACTGAAGTGTAACCGGCCCAGCGTGACTTTGGTGACCTGGTCCGCCAGCAGGTCGATTCTAAAACAAACAACAGAAATACCAAGAGACAGTCAGAGAAAACAGAGCCCTCGATGACTGTTAGATTCTCAAATATGTTCAGTGCCCAGTTCTCACCATGATGTGGAGGACAGTCAATTCCAGTCACTGATCATTAATAAAGTTTCCACATCACAGTGAGAACTGGCCATCAAGGAAGGTCATGGCATGATTCTTGAATGGTAAGAAATGCTCGTTTAGCAGAAAATCAAGCCCAGAGTTTCTGACTCACAAAGGTCATATGCTCCCTACACTATCTCTGGGTTCTTTTATGTCCACAGCAGGGAGAACGGACAAATTTCACTGTGTGACTCTGCTAGTGTGGCTACTGCCTCCTGATTGAAGGAATTTCTCTAGGCTCCTGGAGGACCCCTTTGCATCTTTCTCATGGATTTGCCCTTTCTTGGTCTGGCTGTGGGAGGTAAGGCAGTGGGCACCTAAGGGGGACCACACAGACCCTGCCTGGATGATGGAGAACAGATGCACCAGGGCAGGTCAGTGCTGCTTGTACGTGTGGCTCCTTCACAGTTTTGTACACAGGCTCATGTGGAGCTCCTGCCTGGTCAGTCCCTGCTGTAAAACCATCTGCTTCCCAGACCCAGTGCTACTGACTCCGGGCAAAAACACTGACATATTTCAATTATCTCTCAGTCAAATCAGTTAAAAATCCACTCCGGCTCCAAGCCCTTCTAAAGTTAGATGTGCACTTAGGACCACCATATTGTTCTGGATAATCCCAGGCCTGTCTGCTATCTATTTTGGAACCCACTGGGCAATCTATTAACATTATTTTAGAAAATAAGAAAAATGAATCGCAAGCAGGCCTGATTATAGAACCCTGAATTTAATCCAATTAGCACTGGGCCAATTTAAGTGAAAATAAAGAGAAGGATCTAGCTATAATCTATTTCAAGGAATCAAAGTTCTTAGCAAGGTTGTCACTAACAAATCATTATAAAAATAATGATTAGGGCCTCCCCAGTAGCGCAGTGGATTGAGAGCCACGCTGCGAAGCTGTCCACAGCCTCTGCAGCGCAGGTTTGATTCCCAGCCGACCAGTGAGAAACCCACATGCAGACCTCTCCTGCTTCGCCTGCTGCTCCCCTCAGCAGTGTCTTCGGTCATGTCCATCTGCCTGTTCTGCTCCCGGCTCTGTCTCTGGTGAATTCTCTCACCCTCCCACGCCTCTGACTGTACCCCAGTTCTTGCATAAATAAATAAATCTTTCTAAAAAAAAATGATGACTTTAAAAATGGAGTTTTTATAAGGAATTTTCTGCAATTATTTCAATGTATTTTATCAACTTTTATTTTTGTTGATCAGTCTGTGCTCATTATACTAAAATATTAATACTAGTGTCTAAAATAGACTTCATTTTAAATACTCAAAATAAATTGGGCAAAATGCCTTTTCCCCAAAACATTCACAAAGAAATTCAAAAGAGAAATTCTTACTTAACAGGATTGAAAATCTTTTTGCTTCTGTCTGCTTGGGACTGTTCGATAGCGATTATTTGATTGCTGGCTTCTAACTGTTTGGAACAACAAATAGTAAATGAATTACTCAACAAGTCAATTCAATTATTAATAAAAATGTTCATTATTAAGTAATGTTCAAGCACTTAAAAAGTTCTAAGACATCAAGTTAGCCACTGGGCAGGAGCAAAGCAACCGAAAAGACAGCAGGACAGTGGCCCCTATTTTAAAGCAGTGTGCTTTTGGTTAAAAAAGAAAAAATACTTGCAAAATTAAACAATGAACACACAAGACAACAGAGTATTTCAGGTAAGCAGAGACTTAGTGTGGGCAAATAGAGATTGAAACCTAGGAGCAGGGCAGCTTAAAGGGTATGTGCTGCCTTCATTCACCCATTTATTCATTCATTCTACAAATATTTGTTGAATTGTGCATCTAGCATTGCCCTACGCATGAGAGATGAGAAGTGGACAGTTATCAGAAATCTCTGCCATTGAAGAGCTTACGTTTCTATTACAATGAAACAATAGCAATAAAAATGAATATAACATAGGAAATGACATTTAGTTCAGTACTTGAAACAAACTCCTAAGTTACTAGTGAACAATGCAAGGGCATGGAGAAACCCATTCTGTCTTATATGGCTTGTGGGTAGTCACATAGAAACAACTTTTCTGGAAAGCAACTGGGCAATCTATCAATAAATCAAGAGTCGTAACAATGTTCCTATCTTTCATGTGTAAATTCCTTTTCTGGAATGTATCCTCAAGTAAATATGGGTGTACTTGAATGTTCACTGAAGTTTTATCAACAATGAAACATTAAACAAAATTTAAAATAAAACAGGAATGAATATGATACATCCATAAATGGGAAGCTATATTACCTTTGTCAATATTTTTATAGAATCTTAAATATTATATAATGTTATTTTCACACTACATTAACCACAAGAGATTAATTTTATAATGGAAATATTAGGCTACCAAATGGTGAATTCCACGTATGAATTTTATCTCTTCTTCATAGTTTCCTTTTGTATTCCAAAATTTTCACAATGGATTTATATTACATCCATAATCAAAAAAAGGTTTTATCGTTTACTTGTTTGTTGTTTGTATTTTGGTTTTGTTTGGTTTGGCTCGACTTGAGAACAGTTTGGAGTAAGAGCAGCTGATGTGTTCAAGAGTGAAGCCCTATTTGGGGAGACTCAGTAACTCAGCCCAGATTAATGATCACAATAAAATATGCAGAAAATGGATGATCTCCCCTTGAAGAGCTGAATCTTAGGCAACAATTTAATAAATACTAGTCTACTCCATCTGAAAATGCACTAACACCAAAAAGAATTAAGAACACATTTAGTAAAAGAAATACAAGACTTATTCACTTGAAGACCACACAATTAAAGTTTGAAGAGGTGTTGTATCCATATCTGAATGCAGCCTTAAGAAATTGGCAGACACACAGACCAATGGAACTGAATAGAGAGCCCAGAAATAAAACCTCACTTATATGGACAACTGATCTTTGACAAAGGAGCAAAGAATATGCAATGAAACACAGACAGTCTGTTCAATAAATGGTGCTGGGAAAACTGGACCACCACATGCAAAAAAAATGAAGCTAGACCACTACCTCTCACCATGCACAAAAATCAACTCAAAATGGATAAGAGAACTAGACATAAGACCTGAAACCAGGGCCTCCCCTGGTGGCGCAGCGGTTGAGCCCTGGGCTGTGAAGCTGCCCACAGCCTCTGCAGCACTGGTTCAATCCCCGGCCGCCAGTGAGGGTCCCACATGGCACACAGACTCTCCAGCTGCCTGCTGCCCCCCTCAGCAGTGTATTTCATCAGTCTGCCTGTTCTGCTCTCTGCTCTGGCTCTGGTGAATTCTCTCACCCTCCCGCACTTCTGACTGTACCCAGTGCTTGTATAAATAAATAAATTTTTAAAAAAAGGCCTGAAACCATAAAATATATAGAAGAAAATATAGGTAAAACACTAAAAGACATACATCGCAATAACATCTTTAAAGACTCATCTCCCAAAGCAAAGATAGTCAAGGAAAAGATAAACACCTGGGATTACAACAAACTGAAAAGCTTCTGTACAGCAAAAGAGACATCAACCAAAACACAGAGACACCCCACTGATTGGGAAAAAAATCTGCACTCCATTCAACTGATAAGGGACTGATCACAAAGATATACAAAGACCTCACACCACTCAACAGAAACAAAATAAACAATCCAGTCAAGAAATGGGCAGAACTTAAAGACATTTCTCCCAAGAGAAAATGCAAATGGCCAACAGGCATATGAAAAAATGTTCAACATCCTTTATCATCAGGGAAATGCAAATCAAAACCGCACTGAGATACCACCTTATACCAGTGAGAATGGCTCATATCAAAAAAACAAGCAATAACAAATGTGGGTGAGGATGTGGTGAAAAAGGAACTCTCCTACATTGAAGGTGGGAGTGCAAACTGGTCCAACCACTATGGAAAGCTGTCTGGAGGTTCCTCAGTCTACTAAAAATGGAGCTACCATATGACCCGGCAATTCCACTACTAGGGATCTACCCTAAGGACACAAAAACATTGATTCAAAAGACCACCTGTACCCCTATGTTTATTGCAGCACTGTTTACAATAGGTAAAACCTGGAAACAACCCAAGTACCCAAAAATAGATGACTGGATCAAGAAGATGTGGCATATATACACAATGGAATATTATTCAGCAATCAAAAAAGATAAACACATGCCATTCACAGCAACGCAGATGGAGCTAGAAGGAATTATGCTCAGTGAAATAAGCCAGAAGGAAAAAGAAAAATATCAGATGGTTTCACTTATAGCAGGAATGTAGTGGAACCAAATAAGACATCAGTGTAAAAAAATAACAACAGTACAAAACACAACAAAGCAAAAACGGACGATTACAAATCAGAGACATCCTGCAGGGAGGAGGAGGGAGAGGGATCAGAGGGAGGGAGGGAGGAGCACGGGGGACTGAGGTGATGGTGTACAGGTGCACTCTATGGGGACTACACCTGAAGGTGTGGGGGGAAGCAAATATTGTTTAAAAATGAACAATGATGTAAAAAAAATAAGAAATTAATTAATAAAAAATTAGAAAAAAATTGGCAGTTACTTCCTATGTCTTAGAACATTAATTCTTCGAGCCCATTCACCATGCTATGGGGAAGCACAAGCTATTGCATAGAGAGGCTCACATGGAGAAGAGTCAAGGTCTCCCAGCTACAGTCCCTTAAAGTTCTTGGTGGATGGCCAGCACAACCTTGACATTTGTGTGAATGAGCCAGCTTGGAAACTGGATCCAGGTTCAGTTGAGATTTGCAGCTATGACTCCTGAGCAGAGATGAGTTTCAGAGTCAAGCCCTGCCCAAGCTGTAGATTGGTGGCCCAAATAGATAACTTATTATTTTAAGTTGCTAACTTTGGACTAGTTTGTTGTGCAGTAATAGGGAACTAGAATACAGTAAGTACTGGGTGAATTAAATAAAAGACTTACCTTAACTCCAAAAGCTTTCAAGTAAAACATTTCTATTGGTTTTAAGCCCACTTGGGTTTTGACAAATTTTGGACTTCCCCAAACTTGGATATGGATGGTTATCTGAAAATGGTTCTTCTTTTGGCAAACAAAAGCTTCATCTGCTGGTGAAAAAGTAAATCCTTTGTCTGTGACAACTTGATAGCCTATATCAGGTCTACAAAAAGAAGAATCAAGAAATAAGTTTTGCAAACATTGTCTTTGTTAGCAATATTAATATGTAAATATGTCAAAAGAATACATTGTGGAAAGTGCCTCTTACTAAATTTAATCAATGAATTCCATGTATTTTTACTGAAAAAAAAAGTAAACAATGTTTCAAAACACAGCTGGCTCTCACAGTTTTTATCTACTCAAAAGGAAGATACACAATTCTTGCCAAATAGAAGCATTGTTTCCTCAGTCTGCTTTTCCCCTTTGTGCTTTCTGGTTTGTGCTTCTAATTTGCTTCTAATTTGACTCTACAATATAATGAAAGAGGTAGGCTGGAAGTGAAGAAGTCACTTCATACAGAGTTGTGAAATACATGGGATAGAATTAATCTCTTTCCTCTTTTAAGAAAAGTCTCTATGTTGATTTATAAGGATGCACACATGAAATTTTATAATATTTGCAATATTATTTCAATAAGAGGGTTTAAAATTTAAATTAAAAAATTAATCCACAAAGAAGTCTCTCATCTTTTCAGCAATGCTATACTCCAGCAGTCAGGTGGTTGAATATTCAATCTACTGATGACATATGGAAAAAAAGCACACTGGTCAGAATTAGCAGAAATAGCTTTAAGTTGGATCAACCAAAGCCAGTGAGTTTACCAATTAAAAACCTATTTTCACTAAGTATGGTTATTTCCTTGTTATCTTCTCACTGAGATATAGCACTGGTAACCTACTTTGCTGGTTACTTCTGCTGAAAGAAATGGTTGAGGGTGGGGTGACTAATCAGGCTTTTGCTTTATTTGTTTTATCAATCATTTTTCAATAGCAATGCTTTTTGTAATATATGTTTAATGAAATATTAAAGGTGAATAAAAACAAAACATTAAACAGACACACGATCAGGTAAAGAAGCGAATATATAAGTTGAAAACTTCTCAGGTAAGTCTGCAAAGATGGAACTTGAATTTTTATTCATCAAGGTTCCTACATGTATGTTTTTCCTCAGGAAGGACGCTTCTTCCCAGGACCACAGAGGAAATGAGTACCTAACTGCTATGGCTGCTCCCCCTTATTTGTGGATTTTCACATCCTGGGACCTCAGTTTGGATGACTGCCATTAAATGGACAACATAGTGTTTCTAAATTTTCCACTAATTTCACAGACAGAAAATATTAATGGGACTCTGGGAAAATAGTTTTCATGCTCTTTGCAAGTTAAGCACCTTACCAATGGATCAAGTAACAGAGCTATTGATTACCTTCAAGTAGCTGATCAGTCAAAGTCTCTACACTCACACTGCCCACCAGCAGCAACAGGAAAATCCATTGAATGAAGGATTTAATAAGATCATCAATCTTACACTATCTGGGAACTTTATATTGACTCCAGTTTCTAGAACTAATCTGCTAATTTGCTCATCTAACGGCTGGATGGATTGAATTGTATAGATTTTACTGCAGAGGGTAATAAGAGCTGTCTTGGTTGAGAAGAAAGGAAATATCTTTTTGTGATATTCTATGTTTCACTGTCAAAAACTCTGTAAGATTTACAGCTCAAATATGAGCCTTAACTTGAAATTTCAGGACAACTGTAAACAGAAACTGAATCTACCCACAATTATACTGCTGAAGATTAAACACCAGTCTCTATTTTTAGAAATTTATTCTATTTATTCTATCTAAGAATAGCAATTCTGTTTTTTGATATCTAAAGTTAATTCTAAAATCAACTAAATTGACATTTTAAAAGCTCCTCTTAACATAGTATTTAAGTATCATTCAGAAAAAGAGATTTGATAAATCTTCAATGTCCTAACTTTACTGCTTTAGGTAATTTAGGGAAACTATTTGTAACAACTTAGACATAATAATCTAAGAAAAGATAAGTGATTTTCTGTCTGAATGAGTAGTCAAACCAAGATGGCCTGAATTCTAATCCAAATGAATATTGCCTTCCTTTTTTCTTATGAAAAGTGAACTGCAGCTAAGCATTCTAAATAATTCTGACTTTATACCTTTGGGTTCATTCCATTCTTGTATTTTTTTCCAGATCAGTGGAGCATAGATAGGCTGTTCAAATAAATTAAAAAAAAAACTACTCAAATAAGAAGAGCAAGAGCAGTTACCTTGAAAATGTTATCAACTCAATTGCACAGGGCTGGAAGCATTAAAGTCTTTAATTAAGATACGTGCACATGTGTGACAATTTCATGCCTCAGTACTCATATTTAAGATCAAATATGGAACACTACCCAAAAGATAACCAAATTAAGGCTAAAACTCAAAATAAGGCCAGTGGACCCATAATTTCTTTTTCTAGTTGCACACAGTGTCAAAGACAGAAGGTTGTGAGATTTCAATAAAAAAGTTAGTAATTCATGTTTTTGTGCCTCCCATAAAACACACCAACTCCCAAATCAGTTTTAACTCCCCAGATTTTTGTCTGAAGGAAAAGATTTCTTCTTCTAGTTTGCCCAATATAAAGTCCTAGAGATAATTTCTGTACTTAAATAAGTCACATTTGAATTTAGAAAATACCAAGAAGACCCTCAAGTTTATAGTTTATGTTTTTATATTTATTTCTTGACAGTCCTACTCTTTAACTATTAACACATTTTAGTGTTTCAAGAAAATATTTATAAAAAATGAAAATTGTAGAAGACCGGTTAAGTAAATTATTTCCTAAGGGACAAAGATAAGTCTTAAAGGATAGTTAAGAGCAATAAGGCATAAGTTCACATTTATTTCTTCTAACGATAATATTATAAGAAGATAAAACTTTTCCAGTTTAAGGATATTTTGTATATTTGGGTTTAGTCTCTAATACACCACTAATTATGATGGCTGCAGAATACACTGACAATGAACTTAACAACACTGATTCACAGCATAGATATTGGAAGGGGTGGGTGCAAGTGGCTAACAATTTAATATGTCCCCCAAAATTATTCTATGGAAGTATAAATTAACCTCAGGATTAAATGTTAGTGACTTGGGAAATCTCCACTTTCCACCCTTTAGTTTAAATTGGACATGTGATCTCAGAAACATTCCCTTTCCCTCCATCATTTAGTGGGTAAGTTATAATATGAAAGAATTACACATTTGGATTCCTGAAGGCTGGAAACCATACCCCAAGTATTCTTTAGCAAGGATGTACAACATAAAGAATAAGACAAACCCTTTCTCAGTGACCCTTCCCACTTGCTCAGGGTGCCTCTAAACCCACCAAATACAATTTTGTTCTGAGATTCAGCACTGCTTTCTCCCCTCACTGTCCAACCACCACAGAAGAGTCTAAAGCCACTTACAATTTTTCGTAATGACCATTTAATAAACTGTGCCAAGGAACACTTTGATATGGTTGCCATTTCAGAGCAGGAGAGCACTGGTCTGCGGGCATCATGTTCTGAAAACTGTCGTGGTCTTTCTCTTCAAGGCTGTGATTCCTACCTATCACTGCAAAGAAATAGTATGTGAGTCCTTCCTCCAAGGATGTTTTCCCAGATTCGGACAGCTGCATTGAGATAATGCATGAAAGAGGCAGAGTGGGCCCATGGGAAGTGGCAGCATTGGGAGCATTGGGACTAGTAAGTGTGAAGTGAGCCTTGTTTCCTCACCTATAAAGAAGAGCTGGGGTCAGTGATCTTTGGAGTTCAATAATGGGCACTTGTTGGAAACTTTGCCTTCAGGATCTACCCTACTTTTTGCATAGCATCACCTCACTTTCAGTCTGCACTATTCCAATAGTCTATTCCCACTCCCAGAAATATAAGGGGCCCAGGTGCAGATCAAAGTACAGCAGGTCCTCAAATAACATCACTTCCTGCAACAGCCTCTCTTTAGCACTGATGAGTGAAAAGCCTGCCAAAACTAAACAAAATGACATTATTTGAGGATCTGACATTATTCAAGAATCTGCTTTAACTATATGTTGCATAGTTCAAAGTAGCAGTTTCTGAGAACTTACTGACATTAAGGAAGACTGACTGTACAGCATTCACTTGCATTAGTAATTGCATCAAATGGACACATGGTCTAATCCAATCCAAGTAGAGTGGATCTCAGCACCTCCCAGAGTGCATGTCAAAGATGCTGACTCGTTTCCATCAAGTTTGAACCTGTGAGATACATTCCCAAGAGCAGCTGGCACCATTTTGGGACATGAGGGGAAAGCCTGTCTGGGAAGGAAGCCAGCGCAGCAGAAGGCAGCATTAAGAATGAAGGGCATATGTACCACATCTTCTTGACCACACACAATGGAATATTACTCAGCAATCAAAAAGATAAACTCATGCAGTTTGCAGCAACATGGATGGAGCTAGAAGAGATCAGGCTCAGCAAATAAGTCAGAAAGAAAAAAGAAAATACCAGATGGTCTCACTCATAGCAGGAATTTAGAAAACCTAAATAAGAGACCAGGGAAAAGATTAATCAATACAAAGTAAAAATCAAAATCAACAAACAACTGTAAACCAGAGACACTACGGGGGTGGGGATAGGGAGGGGCGGGGAAAGGAAGGACTAGAATCAAAATAAGGGGGGGTGCAATTGCATGGGGAATATAACCAAAACTAAATGCATACATTGTGCAAAAATGAAAAAAGATGTAAGAATTATATAAAATAAAATATTTAAATAAAAAAAAAAAAGAATGAAGGGCACCTGGATCTAATGGCGTGACCTGAGTTCTGCGACCCAGTCCTAAGCTTTTGGGTTACAGGAACCAATAAATCCCCTAGTTTTGTTTATTTGTTTGTTTGTTGCTCATGGCAATTTGAGGTTTGGTTGTTTGCCTCTTTGTTTTTTGTTAATTACGACAATTCATTTTAATTTGTTACAGGTCCCTTGTGGCACCGAGATTGTGTTGTCCAATTAGCTTTTGACCTTAGAAATTTATTCACTTAGGAGAGGGCGGAGCAACATGGCAGCGAGGAGACGCTGCGAGTAAGATCTCCCATTAAAAAAAGTGAATAGGGAGGAAAAGCGGCAGGTCCCAGAGAGAACTGGGACACGGAAGATAAACGGGTGACGCCAGCAAACTACCCGAAGAAGAAGTGGCCATAAAAGAGGACCAGAAGGGAGGGAAGCGCAGAACCCTGCTCCCCTCCCCCGCCCACAGAGGCGGCACTCTCCGACCGGCAGAGAGGAGGAAACAACACACCAAAACGGCCAACAAGAAAAACGGACGCAGCAAGCGGGACTGTGAGTGGAAAGGAACTACTGCAGCCACCACACCCCGTGAACGGGAGCTCAGGCGAACCCTGCAGGATCCGCCCCGGCGGTGAGCGAACGGCTCCGGGCGCCATTAGAGAAGAACAAAGACCCCGGGAGACGCGCACACAGCCCGGCTGCCGGTAAGCTGGCGCGGAAAGCGGCGCACTCGGCACGCGCTTGAAAAGCAAGTACAGACGGGGATCGCTGCTGCCCAGGTCCCCGCGCCTGCGACCTAGGCTTGCGGGGAGACGACCTAGGCTTGCGGGGAGACGCGCGGAGGTCCTCACTGAGGTGAAGGTCCCTCCCTGAGTGAGCAGGAACCAGGCGCCCAGGCACGGGAGCAGTGCAAAAGGCGCCATTCCCGCGCCACTGAACTGGGCTACAGCCCGCGTCCTGGAACTGAGGGCTTTGAACTGAGACCCGGGGCACGAAAATTCGGGGCATGGGTTCTCCACGACGGTGGGGCACAAGGCAGACACAGCACCCCAAAGCTGTTGAGGTGTACCCTACCATCCCCGCTCTGTTCCATGTCCCACGGGGTGGGGAGGCGAAAAACAGCCCCCCAAGGACAATAGGAGAGATCTCTGGCGCCACCTAGCGACCAGGAAAAAAAAGTCACTAACACCCCATAAAACAGGAAATTTCTTAAGACTGCTTGAAAAGGGCAGAAGGCTTCTGGAGAACCCAGTGGCCAGCCGGGAAGTTATTCCACGCCAGGCCCCTTCCGACCAGCAGTCTGAGCCCACAGAGGGAGCAGGCATCCACGTCCGGGGCAGACCGGGCGCGCAGAAGAGTGTGCCTGAAACCGGAGGCGCAGGGACTGCATCCCGCTTCGCCATTTGAGAACAGGGACATTTCTTCAGTAAAAACTGCCTAAAACCAGCAGAAAGCTCCCCCAGAAGACAGAGATGGCTCCTGGAAGAGCCAGAGGGAGCGGAGAAGTTCACCCAAGATGTCAGTCAGTCCCGAGCAACACAGTGTCCCAACGCATACGACAAATTAGAAAACAGACAGTAGGGAGTAGAAGAACCACACGCAACCTAACAACTCCTCAGGAAAGAAGCACACCCACAAAAAGAAAACCACTCCCCAGATTGCAACGACAGCAACTTGGAAGAACTTCTGAGCCTTCCCGAAAGAGAATTTAAAATTGCCATGATTAAAAAAGTGATAGATCAGAAGAAGGAAATTGAGTCCCTAAAGAGGGAAGTAAGAGAAATGCAGGAGATCAAAGAATTAATGGAGGAACTAAGAACTCTGGGAAAAGCAATGAAAGCAGAATAGATGAAATGGAAGAACGAATAAGTAATCTTGAAGACACAGAAATAAAAAGAACCAAAACAGAAAAGGAAAGAGAAGTACGAAGGAAAAAGAATGAAGAAAGACTTCGGGAACTATCTGACTCCATGAGGAAAGGAAATATAAGAGTTATAGGAATTCCAGAAGGAGAGGAGAGAGATGTAGGAACAGAGAAAATATTCATGGATATAATTGAAGAGAACTTCCCAAATGCGAAGAAGGAGCTGAAAATTGATATACAAGAAGCAAGAAGAACACCAAACTTCCACGACGAAAGGAAAACACAGCAAGACACATAATAGTAAAGCTCCCAAGAATCCAGGACAAGGAAAAAATAATGAAGCTGACAAGAGGGAAGAAACAGATAACATTCAAAGGAAAACTAATCAGGCTGACATCAGACTTCTCTGAAGAAGCACTACGGGCAAGGAGAGAGTGGAGGGACATAGTCAACAGACTCCAAGAAAACAGATGCCAACCAAGAATACTCTATCCCGCAAAGTTCTCTTCCTCCATGAAGAAAGAATATGGACCTTCCCAGACAAAGAGAAACTCCGGAATTTCATTGCGACTAAACCCCCACTCCAAAAAATACTACAAGGAATCCTAAAGCCAGAACCTCAGAGGGACGAATAACAACGAAAGAAGACCAAAAAAAAAAAGTTATTAAAAGAATAAATAAATAAAATCAAAGGAAAGACAAACATAATGGCAAATACAGATGCTAACATATCAATATTAACTCTAAATGTAAATGGACTAAACTCTTCAATAAAAAGACACAGAGTTGCAGCCTGGATTAAGAAACAAAACCCAACCTTTTGCTGTCTCCAGGAAACACATTTAGCTACAAAAGATAAAAATAGGCTCAAAGTCAAAGGATGGAAAACAATCCTACAAGCAAATGGGCCAAAAAAGAAGCAGGAACAGCTATACTTATATCAGATAAAACAGACTTCAAACTCAAAAAAATAAAAGAGACCCAATGGTCACTACATTATGATTAAGGGGACAATACTTCAAGAAGAAATAACACTCATTAACATATACTCACCAAACGAAAGAGCACCAAAATATATCAGACAACTGTTGTCCTCTCTGAAAACAGACATCAGAGAAAACACATATGTAGTGGGAGACTTCAACACCCACTATCAACAATGGATAGATCAACAAGACAAAAAATAAGTAAAGAAACTAAAGCTCTAAATAAGGACCTAGAGCATTTGGGCTTAACAGACATCTATAGAACACTAAACCCAAAAAAAACGGAGTACACATTTTCTCAAGCGCACACGGATCATTCTCCAGGATCGATCACATACTGGGGCACAAGTCAAACATCAACAGATACACCAAGATTGAAATCATACCAGCCATCTTTTCTGACCACGAAGGCATCAAACTAGAAATAAATCATAAAAGAAGGCAAGGAACTATCCTACCTCATGGAGATTAAAAGCCACACTACTGGAAGACCACTGGACTAACGAGGAGATCAAAGAAGAAATTAAAAAATTCTTTGAATTGAATGACAAGGAGGACACCAATATCCTAAATGTATGGGATGCAGCAAAAGCAGTAATAAGAGGAAAATACATAGCAATAGAAGCTCACATCAAAAAACAAGAAAGAACTCAAAGAAACAACCTAATCTCGAAGCTCAAAAATCTAGAAAAAGAACAACAAAAAAACCCCAAAACCAGTAGAAGAAAAGAAATAATAAAAACCAAAGCAGAAATAAATGAAATTGAAACTAAAAAAACAATCCAAAAGATCAATGAAACCAAGAGCTGGTTCTTTGAAAAAATAATAAATAGACAAACCCCTAGCCAGGCTCACAAAGGAAAAAAGGGAGAAAGCACAAATACACAGGATCATAAATGAAAAGAGGAAATCACAACGGACACAGCAGAAATCAAAAGAATAATCAGTAACTACTAAACAGTTATATGGAAACAAGTTCAACAATCTAGAGGAGATGGACAAATTCCTACAACTCTACAATCACCCAAAGCTAGATAAAGAAGAAATAGAACACCTAAACAGACCAATTACAAGCAGCGAAATTGAAATGGTAATTAAAAACCTCCCCAAAAACAAAAGCCCAGGACCTGATGGATTTACAAATGAATTCTACCAAACATTCAGAGACGAATTAGTACCTATCCTTCACAAACTCTTCCAAAAAATTGAGAAGGAAGGGACAATACCAAACACGTTCTATGAAGCCAATATTACACTAATACCAAACCGAATAAGGACAACACAAAAAGGAAAACTATAGGCCAATCTCCCTAATGAACACTGATGCAAAAATCCTCAATAAAATTTTAGCTATCAGAATCCAACAATGTATCCATAAGATAATTCACCACGACCAAGTTGGATTCATTCCAGGGGCACAAGGATGGTTTAACATCCGAAAATCAATCAACGTTATCCAACACATCAACAAAAAGAAATATAAA